TTGTCATAAAACCTTTAGGCAGAGATATTTGTAAGGAGAAAGGATTTCTTCATGTTTTGAGGAAGTGCTGAAGACTGAAGTGACACTACTTCAACTTTATGAATGACACCGATTGATTTTATTATTTTGATATGATGTTGCATTTATTACCGTAATGATGGCTGCTGCTCCTGTCTCTTCCATCAGGTGAAGAATGCTGCTCATGCTCGTCCGGCAGGTCCTGCTTCTCCGGTCTCTTCTCCAGCCGCTCCTGCTCCTCCTTCAGTTTCTGTTGCTCCTGCAGGGACAGGAAAAACGTGTGGGAGGGCGCTGCTCCCACGCCACCACGCAATCCAGGCCACCTCTCACACGCGCACTGAGGAAAGGTCCATAACCTGGTCTGGGAGGAGGGATTCAGGAGGTTCAATGCTGGAACGTTGAACCTCACACTCTGAGCTACTCCTGCACGTTTGTCCATACCAACAAGAGGTGACTACTTGTTAGCAGATATGACTTCCCTAAATCAACAAGTCGTTGATAAATGTTTAGTGCATTTATAATTACATGCTGACGAAGCCCCTGTTACTTTACAGACCAAAGGCCAGAGACTGACACGCGTCCATTTTTGCCAATCTGAATCCACCTGCACTGGCTGAGAAATCTTGAACTGACCTTTGTCTTTCACTAAGGGCTCTGTGGTGCAATGGAGAGCGTGTTGTACTTCTAAAAGAACAGAATGATTCAAAGGTTGTGGGTTCAAGTCCTACCAGAGGCAAATTCTATTAATCAGCACTTCATCTGTTCAGTCATGTAAAGGTGCTTTGTCAATTGGTCTAACTCACCCTCTTTAGATCTGCCTGCAGCCTTGTGAACAGCCAATCATGTTATACACCTGACATGTGACTCATGTAGCTGTTTCACTTGGCACTGCTGAAGATATGTGCTACAGTCACTGAGCTTCTTCTTTAAATTTCAACTGATAAATTTAATTAACCACTAACAGTAAATATGTATTTCACATGTAAATCAGGAGTTGTGTTTTAAAACCTTTACACATTTTCAGAAAAACATATGACTGCATCTACTTTTAGATCATCCAGGGACCCCTTATGATTTGTTTCTATGTTCAGTTTATATGTGGAGAATCTAATGCATCAGCAGGGGTGTTGACTATCTTAATCTCAGTTATCTAATGAATTCATCATATTGACTCATCTCTAACACAGAGTAAAACTCTACAAAAAGTTTTTCTCAAAGTTTCCCAAGCAAGCATTTTGAATCAAAAACACACGTTCCAGTTTCATGTCATTTTTGTACTCCATTTATGCATGAAAAGGAAAAACATGAGCCGCAGTCATTTACACTGGAGCAGAGCATCATGGAGGACAGCCATCTGTGAACATCACACTCTGATTCTGGAGAACTTGAGATGTATATTTAAGGTTTAAAAACAAGTTCAACTGTGCTTCACTGTCAGATTCTATCATGCCCTTCTGTGGCTGCAGGCTGCTGTTTGGGATCATCTCCACTAGAGGGTGTCTTGAGCGAGCAGCTGCTTCTCACCTGCTCACACACAGTTACAACAAACATAACATAACTTGCTTACTATTTATTTTTCTATACATTTCAACTTTAAAAACTGTTTACCTTGCCTTGTTTGGTATCATTCTTTTCAACTCAATCTTACATGTCTGAATTTACTGTTAATTTTTCATTTTGACATACTGTATTAATACAAAATCTAAAATCAGTCAAAAAACATAAAATCAGAGATGAAAAAAGTTTTATTTTTTATTTTTTTTACTGTATCAAACACAAACATTACCAAATCATTTTCTAAACTTGAAATGCAAATATAAATTGTTAATTTTAATAACATATGCACAAGCTTTGCTAACAACAAACTTGCAGCCAAGGCGGCGTTTTTTTTATAACCATTTCAAACTATTTACAGAAAATTCAGGTGTTCTGCATCAAATAAGATGCCACACAAATTATTTGTACCACTCCCAAAAATAATTTCTGTCCGCTATAATATAAAGGAAAACATCACAAACCTGATACCTGCAGCCCTGAAAGCAGGAGGTGTATCACTCCTGTTTTCCACCTGGTTACAGCTTTTACACTGCAGTCTGCCTTTGGTGGCTTTTTGGTAGCAACTGCAACATTCAGCAATCGCCTCATTGTTGTGACACACAAAGCAAAACTATCCACTACACTACCTGGTAACTACAGACTACAAACACTTTAAACATCACAAATCTCTCACATCTCAAAACTCGCACTCTCTCTTTCGCGCTCTCACCACGGTCACTCCTAAAACTTCCCCCTCTTCCTAAATAACCAAATGCCATGTTGCCATATCATTTTTTGTTTGGTTGACATGGCAGACTGTCCTACCAATAGGAAAGTGTGGCTTTTTTTGTTTTTGCTTGCAAGCGGAGAGTGCTTTCAAGCACTTTCCCTAGAAAATATCGTTTTTACCTTTCCTTCCTGTAGTAAATATAGTGATAGTATTCAGGAAAAAACACAGTGTATATATTTTTTTATCATAACGCTGGTTTTACGTTGCCTATCAACAGAGAAATATCAACATAGTATCAACATAAGCTATCATATAGCATCACAAACAAAACAAAAATAGTATATATCACATCAATCCATTCATCTATAGTAGGAGTATCCTCTTTAAGCCAAAGGCGAGTTATGGCCTTTTTGGAAGCTACCGACAGCACACTGAACAAATATTTATCCGGTGTGTTTTCAAAAGCGTTTTAAAAACAGGAAACGAAGATGCCTGTCTAATAGTTAAAGGCAGCGTATTCGAAAGTTTTGGGGCCATAATTGAAAAGGCTCATTAGGGGAAAAATCACTGGTCAGCAGTAAAAAATAATGAAGCTCTTAAATGGAAATGTGAAATTTAAAATCTTGACAAATGGAAAAGATAATATGGCTTTTTAAACTAAGATCAAACACGTATCTATGATATTACACATGCACTGGTGTGGATTTGAACCCCATCATTTCGGCAGGTACTGAAGAACGGGTAGAGTTTCTCAGTGAAAGAGCAGCCGATAAATGAGTGAATTAGAGCTGCACCATTGATTTCATAGAAGCAAACCAGGCCTTCATCATAATCTATAAACACTCCCACATCCTCAATTTCTGAATTCAGAGCTGGATGGCCCGATTTCCATTGCTCAGAGCAAATAGTCCAGTAACCATTTTCAGGGCTCAGTTTGGTTTTTTCTCTCTTTAGGTTGCTCATGTATTTGGCCACTCCTACTGTCCATGTACTATGGGTTTTAACTTTAAGCTCAAAGTAAAATCTTCCAAAAGAGAAACCCTGTTTTGACAAAACACATTTACAATTATCATTCGCAGACTGGGGGGCTTTGGGTTGAACTGAATCAGCGTCAAATGTCACCTTAACTTTGTAATCCCTAACCCTCTTCAGTTCAGCCCTCGTCACTTTCCTTATCTCACTTCTGAGATTCCTCTCCACCTGATTTATAATTCTCACCACCATCCATGTGTATGATGGTAGATGGACACTGATGTTTGTCCAGTCTTTGGTGGGGGGAGCAGCTTTCACTGAAGATAAACTCTGGATGAGGTGAAGGATGTCTTCAGGCCGTGTGAGCTGCTCCACCTCAGAGCTTCTCTGCATAAGCTCAGAAATCTCCTGCTTTAGCTCCTTAATGCGGCCTTCAGCCTGTTTCTCTGCTGTTCTCTGCTGCTCTTCAATTGTCTTTATCAGTGCTTTCATGCTGCTCTTTGCAAACTCTATTAAAGATGTGAAGATCTGAACACCTTCTGCTGTCACTCTGTCTGCCTCTTCCTTACTGAGCTGCACAGAGTGTTTCATTTCCCCAATCTTAATCTTTCTTTTCTGGATCATCTCCTGAATTTCAGCCTCTGTTTTCTCGAACCCTGCCTTCTTTGCTTCATATTCTTCTGTCAGAGGAACAACATCATGACACTTGTGGTTCGAAACAGAGCAGATAGCACAGACACACCTTTGGTCGGTCTTACAATAGAGCTCCAGCGGTTTATCATGTTTTGAACATATCATCCATTCCAGGCTCTTAACAGGGTCGATCAGCTGATGTCTCTTTAGGCCTGAAACAGTCTGATGAGGCTGCAGGTGAGTCTCACAGTAGGAGGTCAGACACACCAGACAGGACTTCAGAGCCTTCAGTTTGGTCCCAGTACAAACATCACAGAGAACTTCTCCTGGTTTAGCAGACTGTTGCTCTGATCTCCTCGTGCTGCTGCTGGCTTCCTGCTGAGCTGACAGCTTGAACTGAGCAGCCATCTCAGAGATGAAAGTATTGACATGGAGCTCAGGTCTAATGCAGTACTTCCTTTTACAAACTGGACACTGACACAGAGGACTGCTGTTCCAGTGCTGAGTGATGCAGTTCTTGCAGAAGTTGTGTCCACATGGTGTACTGACTGGATCTGTGAACACTTCCAGACAAATGGAGCACAGAAACTGGTCTTCAGACAGCAGACAGCTGGCAGCAGACATGTCCACACTGGGAGGATAAATGGAGAGGAAGGAAAAACTGTAACTGCATTATCGTTCAATAATTCAGCTCACAAAAGTCAGACAATGTGTGGAGGCTAGAATTTATTTTATTTCTTTATGTTTTCTTCCTTCTATATACCTCTAATTTTGGACCAGTTGTCTAAAAATTATTTTATTTAAATTAAACTGATCAGTGCAAAACAAGTTACTAAATAAAAATAAAAAAATCTGTAAATTGACAACAATTGTGGCTAATCTTTTAAACAACACAGCTACTCAGGTGAAATTATATTAAAAAAATTACTTTGGTTTTCTGTGGAGAATTCAACTGTATGGAAATAAAACAATTCAGCCAAATATTTAATTTTATGTTAAATGAGTAAACTGCATGTTCAAAATTCTAATGAGTTAATCTTACTAAGAAAAGGCATCCAAACTGAGTGTTTTTTCTTGTTTCCTGTTGAACTACTGCTTTACCTGCAATAAAAGGTTGTTCCCATTTGATATCTGGCTGCTTATGAGTCTACATTTGAGATCCTCATTCACCTTCTAATGTGACACCTATCCACGTATCCTTTAAAAACCAGACTGGCGGTCCTTGTGCATGAGTCTGCTATAGGACTGATTTTACATCAAAACAAAACTCTTGCCATTCAAGTAATTTGCTAATTTATTTTTTATTAGTAGTAGGTATTTTACTTTTCCAAGGACATTTGAAGTCTGTATTGTTGCCACACCTTTATTGCTATTATAACATTACTTTTTTAACACTGAGTTTGTCACACAGTGGAAATTTGTGTTTTTTTATGGTTTGAGTTGTCTTGATCTTACTGTGTATTGGTGCGTACATTACTGATTCTATTTGTATGCTTTTTCCCTGATATTTATATTGCATGTTTTAGTGTTGTTGCATGACATTCTTTTAATCCACTGTGGACTGGGCGAACAATAGCAGGCACCTGTTGAGGTGTGGGCATTGAGGGAGACTGCGTTTGCAGTAATCAAGAGCCCCAAGTGTGGAGTGCGGCTGGGGTGTGAGGCGACGCGCCCGTCAGGGAGAGACAGGGCCGAGATAGGAGGTTCCTCCTTGGCTTTCAGCCTGGCCTGGTCTCTATATTGGAAGAGAAATTCCTCTCCTGGTTTTAAATATAAGGAACATTTGCCTGAGCATGCCCAGACTGTGGGGGGAATTTATTGTATGAGAAACTTTGTATTGTATTATTTCTTGAATAGCATATATTTATTCCTTTTGGCAGGGATTTTAGCATACAGAAAATGTTTTTTTTATTGCAAGAGTGTCTTTTAAAATTGTGTTGGTTAATTCTGTTTTTTCCTTCTCTGGAATAAATAGTGTGTTTAAGACTTTCTCAGTCTCTGTGCCATGAGTGCTGATTTACTTGCTCCCCTCCCCCTTGTATTTGAAATACCTTTCAGGTGGGAGATTTAGATCTACCAGCTTTAGGTGTTACAGTAGCAGCCCTACAATAGCATAACATATTAACAAAATAAAGTTCAGCATGTATAACATGAGACAAACAATCCCACAAAATATATAAAATAAAGAAAAATACACTAATGCTGTTTCCTCTGTTAATCCATCCACCAAACTAAGGAATGCAGTGCAATCAGTCCTTAAATATCAAGGAAAGGAGTAGATTTTTGTTACTAAATTTTATTCAATTTTATTTTATTGATACACTGCCAAATCACAACAACAGTCACCTCCAGGTTCTTTATATTGTAAGGTAGACCCTACAATAATGCAAAATCCCAACAATCATGTGACCCCCTGTGTTCAAGCACTTTGGCAACAGTGGGAAGGAAAAACTCCCTTTTAACAGGATGCTGGGCATTTAACATTACATTTAACGGAGTTAGAAGTTAGCAGGAAGCTAGCGGAAGTTAGCTCGCTAGTTTCGCTAGTTACCATAATCATGATGTAGCATGTTCTGACTGAGAGATTTCTGAAAAAATTCAAATGTACAGCTCTGCTATCACTTCCAACATAAATGAAGGCAGGAAACTAAACAGCAGTGACGTTTGTAGGGTTACTGAAGTTGGGCTAGCTGGTATATAATGATGTGCTACGTGATCGCTAGCGACACAGCTATGTTAGCA